GTTCCTTCTTTCAATGTTTTTGGTGGATTGATACTGGAAAATAATATTTTCAATAAGTAGTTCTTCAATGAATGGATCGTTTCTTCCAAATAATTAATCTGTTTCTTCCACATCTTTTCCATAGTCAATTGTATCAAATAGCTGGGGAATATCATACATAATTTGTAGTTTGTCACATGGAAGTTCTATATTTTTTTGTTTCCTTATGGTATGTGTTCCATTCTTTCACCAAAAGGTCTAGTTCACCCTGAATAATAGAACCAAAACAGTATCTGTGACTTTCCACAATTAGCTGATCACTAGCATTATAGTTCATGCTGTCTTTGAGATCTTTGAAAAAACTTATCCAATAACTTATACCCTGTCGTCGCATTTGTGACCAGAAGCATTCAATTTTTTGGTTGGAAGTACTCTTTCCTTCAATATGACTGTTGAATCCTGCTAAATTGTCATTGTGATTATACCTTAAATAGTTCTGCAAACATCCAACTATGCTATTTTCTGTTCCTTAGTCTGTTCTCAGCAATGTTGGCACAACTATGACGCTATTATCCTAGGATTGTTATCACTTGAAGCTACTCGTAGCCACAATATTTTTCTGGAAAATCCATCTATAGCTCTGTGGATTGCGTAACCAAATGGCTTCAGTTTGTCATAACCATCCATGTGCCATATAAAATTGGGTCCTGGAACTATTTATTTACGATCGCTTTAGCCTCCTACGTGACCTTGCCTCAACACCTTCCGGATCAGCTATCCTTAGTATTTCCAAAACAGTATTCCTTTTCACTTGGATACTATATACCAGTTTTAACCTCCTCCATAACGATTTGTATCCTAGGCAGGTTCCACTACCATCTTCAATTTCTTCTAACACCCCAAAAACCACATCCTCTATGGGTGATTCTTCAACATTTTTTCGTTTCAGATTCAATTTTTTCAATATTATTTGTAACTGCCTAACAGAAATGCATAAATTATGGTGAAAGAACAAAAAAAGCACGATTTCAGGCTGTGTGTAACCCTCTGTGAAATATTTCTTGAATAAATTATTAGAAACCACCGCATTGCTACCAATCATTGATTCTAATTTAATTACTACTCTATTAACATATATAATGGATAGAAAAAAGTAATAGAAAACCAGCCATTTTCAAATTACGCATACCAATGTGACATAATATCTCTGTACGTTCCACAAGTGACGTCACATATCTGTACCAGTGTATTGTATGTCGTGACGGGGATTCCGTAGTTTCTCTTCTCCGCATCACAGCATTGCCCTCATCTTGCGTGTCGCAGCCTTGCTATCGCTTCGCATTCACAGATCTCAGAGTAATATTACTGAGTCACAGAGCAGATGCAGTGCGGTTTCTTCCTCTTCTTGACAGAACCTGCATTGGGTTTCTCCTGTCAGACCCATGTTGCTCATATGTTTCCTGAGTCGGCTATGCCCCTTTAGTATACCCACCACTACCTTTACAACCTTACGGTTGTCGTTTAGCAGATCTTCCGCGAATCTGAGCGATGGTTTCTTCATGAACTCTTCCACCAATCTATCGATTCAGCTTGCATCCATGAATTTATGGATGTTTTATACATGCTTTTGCTTCCGATCCAAAAATGGATCGTTTTGGTTGCGCAAAAGCAAAGAAAATACCTCGAAACGTGACAAAAGTTTCGTCGATCGTTCAAACTGACTTTTCAAACTGACTTTTCCAATACAATTTAAACTATCAAAAACCGCATCAGAGCTGACGCCCAGTTCTTCCGCCATCCCACGCACCATTTGTGATAGGTCAGTATATATCCATCAGGGTCCTCAAATCGTCGCCCTGGATACTGTAGGTCGACCTCTTGGGGGCTCATTTTCGAGGATAAAATTTCTGGAACAGAATTTCGCAAACCAATGTTAAACAGTGCGTTGATTAACACTAGCATTGCCAAAGAATGAACAGCTTCAATGTATATTGTACAAAATTATCTATCGACAAGTATATACCACGACACAATAGAATAGATATTCATTGAGATATGGAGCTATGAAAACACATGACATTAAAACAGAGAAAACTTTTTAAAGAATCCAATACATTTATAAGGAAAGTTATAAGTCATAGATGAGATAATAAATAAACATTAAGGTGATAAGGTGATGTCACTAATACATTGGACGGATATGGCACTTCAAAGGAGTCTTCAAAGTGACAGATTAAACTCAGAACTGGAAGTTCATGCCCTATTGAAGGTCAAAATGTTGCTAGATCATATGGTTAACCAACAATTGGTAACCAGGATTATTAACTTTAAAGTTGAAACTCTTCAAATATGATTGTACTGGGTTTCATTCAAGTTATGAAGCATATTAATACTGACAAATTTTTTTTCATGGTCAAGAATCAAATTTGTAGGAATGGTTTAAAACAAATGAACAGATACAAAATAAAGCAAAGAAGAATACACAGAAGGGGTAAAAAGACCAAAAAACGGACGCAGGGTTGCATAACGCAAGAAGACTTTTGTTTGAAGGTGACTGACAATGTTTCATGATGAATTTCACTAGTTCGGATTTCCATTGTCTACTATAAAATGATTTGAAATCCCTGAAACAACTAAAAAAGAAGACTTAAATTTTATTTCACTATTATTTCATTTCAGGTTTATTTTGGTTAATATAATTGTTATTTTCAGCTATTCATTTTTAATTCTTCTTTTTTAGTTGTTTCAGGGATTTCAAATCATTTTATAGTAGACAATGGAAGTTCGAACTAGTGAAATTCAGCAAGAAGACTTGCGTCTCCGGATGTAGCTTCTGTTCCATGGCGGCGGTTATTCTGTGGCTGTGGTAGTGGAGGCACATAATCTGTGGTGGAGGTCGAATGCGCCGGAGAAGGAAGAAGAAAGCAATGATCATACAAAAATATAGAGAAGAGAGAGAGAAGTAAAATAAAACTGAAAATAGGTTATTCGGGTCAGAGTTGGTTGTCTCTGTTCGGGTAATAAAATTACAAGCAGGAAAAGTTGGGAAGTTTTGAAAACGCTTTATTCACAGTTTATATAAAATTTTTGGCCACCTCATAATTATTTTAATGCAAATAAGGGCCTTTTTCTACAACAATAAATAGAAATGTTTTATATTATTGGTTTGGGACTGGGAGACTGCAAAGATATCACAGTGAAAGGTCTGGAAATTGTCAGGAAATGTGATAGAGTCTATTTAGAAGCCTATACTTCAATTTTAACATGTGGTGTAGAAGTTCTCGAGAAGTTTTATGGACGGAAAATATTGATAGCTGATAGAGATTTAGTAGAACAAGGTGCAGATGATATATTGAGTGGATCTGAAGAACAAGATATTGCATTACTCGTTGTGGGAGACCCTTTTGGAGCAACAACACATACAGATCTCATTTTGAGAGCACGAGATAGGGGCCTTTCCTTTCAAGTAGTTCATAATGCATCAATTTTAAATGCTGTAGGTTGCTGCGGTCTACAGTTATACAGCTTTGGAGAAACCATTTCAATTCCTTATTGGACTGAGAACTGGAAACCAGACAGTTTTTTTGAAAAAATAACTAAAAACTATCAAAACAAGTTACACACCTTATGTTTATTGGACATTAAAGTTAAAGAACCTACAGTGGAAAGTTTGACCAGAAAGAAAAGAGAATATATGCCTCCTAGATTTATGTCTGTAAGTGAAGCCTCTGACCAACTTCTTGAAATAGTACATAAGGTTAAGAAAACTGCTGAGAATGTAGTAATAACAGATGAAACTTTATGTGTAGGACTTGCAAGAGTAGGCTCAGATACACAAAAAATTGTTGCCTGTAGTTTACGTGAAATGTCGAAATTTGACTTGGGTGGACCTTTACATTCTCTCATTATAGTAGGTCCAGAAATACATCCTCTTGAGCAAGAATTCTTAGAACAATATCGATTGTGATAACGTTTCTAAATAAAATATATTTTATCCAAATTTGCTTCCATTCAATTTTTCTATAGGAATGGAGAGTTTTTTATTGAAATTCGAGAGGGAAACACAAGAACTGTAAAGGAATCCTCTGACAATCTGAGAATTATGATATATTTATTCTACAAGAACTCTTTTCCGAATGAAAGAATTCTTGAAAACTGTAATTCAAGGTGAAATCAAACTCTTCAACTCGTACGGTAGTTTATTTCTCTAATATTTTTGAAACTAAGAACTTCGCGGAACTTTCATTAGTGGTCAGTACCAGCTCATTTTTTAAACAATAAATCGATTTTTTTATTACTCATTGAGTTCTGATTAACATCATGAGAACAGAAAAGAGGGCAGCTGTGACACCCCAAGATGCTATGGTAAAGCGGTTTTATAAACTTTCAACTGAAAATCTCACATTAATGTGTGTTTTTCAATACGTTCAATACGTTTTGTAAAAAACTTCAATATTTTTATATAATATGGTAGTTCAATAAAAGTTGTTACGACAATGTGTAAGCAGATTTTCAATATTTCTGCAAAAAAAGATGTAACAGAGGTGAATTTTTGGAGTAGTAGTGCAGCCGACTCAAAATCGGAAGGTTGTGAGTTCGATCCCTACCTCAACCAAATAATTTTCTTGTGAAAATTTATCAACTTGAAGTTATGATGATTCTGCAACGTTACATGGCTGATGGACTGCGAATAGCCATAATGCTCCCTAGGTGGATTGGGAAGTTATTAACATTGCTAACCAGAACATGATGTTACCAGCCTTTGAAAACAGCATAAACGGGAACAAACTTCATCGTTTTGATGACAGTTCTGGTCTTTCAAGTTGTATCTTCTTTCTTGTTGTCTGCCTTATGGCCACCACCATAGCTTACTATTCATATGTAATAAACATACATATATTACACGAGATTAATGACCAAAATAGTCAATGCTGTCACACCAAAAAAATTCAGCAAAAAATAAAAAATTTTATTGTTTCAGTATATCTCACATATTATCATTTTATAGTACTCAAAAACTCTCTCTCTCTCTCTCTTACCAATTACGAAACCTCATGCGTAGACTCAAACTTGAATAGCCCTGTATATATGAAACTTACGATTTTGTAGGAATGTATGGCATAATACCTACATGACAGAAAAACAATAAACTCGGCAAATGTTAGACTGAATGTTGAAACTAATTATTCTTAGTCAATCAATCTGACCAATAAAATCTTGTTACTGCCACCTCAACATAAATTTTTTCTCCACGTCTTCATTAAAATATGAAACTTTCTATTGTAGTCGAAAATTACATTTATCTAAAGGCAAATGTATTGAAGTTCTTTTTTTCTGATAGGTCGTTTTTTTAATCAAATTTATTTTTTGGATTAGTATGGTTCACGACTAGTGTGATTATAATAGTTTTTGAAGATCGTGTCTGTATGGATTGATTTGTAGTAAATTGCGAAATCATGTTAACAATTTTTGAAATGTGTGTTGAAATGCTGTAAAATTTTTGTATCTTAAAAATATATTGTTATTTTTATAAATTGAATGATGTAGCCATTACTACGTGGTAGGAGATCATCATGAAAAATGGAACTTTCTATATTTTTTACCACTTTTATTTGTTACTAACGTTACTGCAGGACGAAACAATAGGTAAACTATTTATTGTATTATTTTGAAAATGTCCTTATAGGACAAAACAATACAATAAACTGTTTATTGTAGTAGTTTGTAGAGGAACTTTAAAAGAAGGCTCTTCTTTTAGTCCCGCTGGGTTTAGGTTGTAGGTGGGTTCACAGAGAGATAACTGAGTTGAGAGATTCACAAAACAAAGTTTATTTCTTGGTTGCTTGAATATAACAGAGCTAGAACAATCGAATTTTTAGTTAATAGAATCGAACAATAATTAAACCGACTAGACTCACCTAGAACCAGTTCTCACACCATGTCATCTGTCACTCATACTTTTCCCGCTAAACTCAAATCAAATATCTTAAAATATGATTTATAATTTGGAATATTTACAAAAATGGTGATACGAATGATGTGAAAAATTACGGACCTATCACAGTCATAACTATTTTAGCAAAAACAGTCAAGAAAACCCTAATGCAAGAAATGAGAAATAGATAAAATAAATGTTTTCTCAGAAACTAAATAAATTTATATAGGGTATAACTATTTTGCAGGTCAGCAAATTGTTCTCAGTAGATAGACATTGCTCTCGTAATCTTGTAGGAGGACAGAAATTTTTGCATGAATCTCGACCAGGTTAATCATTTTCGACAAAATCTATGGCACGCATATGAAAAACATATTTTTCATTTTTGAATACAGTTTTTTTCATTTACATTAACGATTTTTCGTAATTATAGAATTCGTCAGCATGAATTATTGAAAAAAAAAACATAATGTCGGTCCACAAAGACCCCTAGATACCAGTTTTGAATGAAATCACATAATAATATCAAACCTAAATCGTATTTATAAATATTCATGATTTCTAATCGAAAAATCTTTATATCCGATTATCTAAATCGAGAATAAATCACAAATTTCTTCATCTGATTTTATAAAGCAAAGTTCATTACTTTTGAAATTAACATTTATCATTGTTATGCATTAGTTCATTTGGAATAATTAAATTTCAACCCAGTAAACCACGCGCTTTATTATAAAGCCATACATAAATAAAAATCTAGTAGGCGGTAGAAAAACTGGCTTCATTTCCATAATCATTAGTAAATAATAAATCAAATTTCCTGTAGGAACTATTCGAAAAGAATACGTTTTCACCTGAATTGATTCATTTTATAAATATACTAGTACATGTTGCTGTATCGCTGCTGTTCCAATGTTTTGACAGAATCAGAATCAACGAAATTATGCGTGCGCAGCGTTATAGAACAGTGCTTTCAAAAAATTGTTCTACAGCGCCATCTAGTGGCAAATTACAGAAAAATTGATAGCCTAAAAACCTTCTCTATGAAAAATTACTTATACATGTCAAGTTTCATCACTTACCAACCAACCAACCAACAAATATCCATTTTTATATATTAGATAATATCCCTCCGATTATCAACTAAACCAACCGCCACTGTCTTATGGTCCAACTTACTTCAAATGTAAACAAACTCTCCATAACCTCTCATTACCCGCCACACTCCCGCGCATGAGTTGTACAGAAAAGGATAGTACGATACCCATTTCAAAACACATGTATTGGTATACAGGCACCGTACAGGCATGGCACTATGTCTTATTATTACTCTGAGAGGTTACTTAAGGGCATGGTTTAAAAGAATTTTTGAGAGACTTTTTCTCGATAATAAAAACAATTTCGGACAGTTCAAATGCTATTTTTTTCAAAAAATTCTATAATAATTTCAAATTGAGATACAATCAAGCGATGAAAAGATGCAAAGCTGAAACTTATAATCAGTTGATATTGAAATCTGACAATTTAGTTAAAACATGCTGGAATTTGATAAACACGGAAAGCAATAGAGGTAAACAAAAGGTAACGAAAGATGTGACTAAATCTTTAAGTGCACTCTCTTTTTTATAAGACTCTCTTTTTCTCCATCCAATAACTGAAAGTGAAGTCTTGATGCTATTCTAAAACTGAAAAATTCATCTTGCCCTGATATGTACGAAATGACGAGAAAAATAATAAAAAGTACTTGTTTTTTTCTTCTAGAACCTTTGACTATTCTCTTTAATCATAGTATCTCCAATGAAGAATTCCCCTTTTGTTCTCAGCCCCCTAAAATTCTGATAATAAGATATATTTTCCATTTTAGCTATTGTGTATCTGTACGTTTATAAATATATAAATGTAACAAGAGTATTTTTTTATTATTTACGAGAAGATTATTAGAATTTAAAGTATATATAAAAAGAAAAAACAGATCAGTTGTGTTGTGCGTCACCGCGCCTAATCGTGTAATCTCATTATGTTTCAGTTCAAATCACTCCGTTCAATTATTTTCCTTCTTCTACCGCCATCATTCACAAAGACATCACCGTTCATTGTCCACACGTTTCTATATAAATATTTGGTTTTTGCTGCTTTCATCAACTCGAGTTTTGCTTTGCTTAGATCCTCTCTAATTACCTACCACGACACTGCCTTTAATTGTCGTTCTATTTTACATAACTTTTTGTATATCTTTATAATTTGAAAAACGAATGAGTATCGCTCGAGGTTTTGTTTGGTTTCTTTCCCCATTTGGTTTTTTATAATCGGACGACCAACTCGATAACAATATTCAGTGGTCGCTGATATATTAATTTTCAATTTCATGGTTTTGTTTATCAGATTATATATTAGATCCTCCGTATTTTCATCTTCACATTCTTGAATGCCAAATATACGTACACAGTTTCTTCTCTGGAACTGGTCGTGCTTATCTAACTGAGATTGAAGATTTTCATTTTCACTCTGAAGTGCTTTCATCTTGAGTTCATACTTTTCTATCTTCTCTTGATGTTTCGACATTGTTCCATTCACTTTAACATTCAAGTGATTGGTAACATTTTTTATCAATGACTCCATAAAGGTGTGATCCGACATTATCGCCTTCATAGTGTCTTTGACTAACTTTTGGAAGTCCTTCTGGTTGAGGACCATACTAAATATTCAATCAATAGAAGTGGTACAGCTTTTGTTCACAACTTTGTTGTTTCACACTAATTATACCAAGATTTATGCGTTTTAAATACAATCGCTTGCGGAGCACACACTCATACGTCTAATCGCTTTGACTGTTCATAACATATCATTATGCTTTCGACCAGTGTATAATTTCCCAGCTACGTCTGCCCCGATAAGTAACACGATCGGATCAAATTCAGGAATATCATATATTTGAATATCTAAAGACTTGAGCTCGTCCATCCAAGGTCCATTGAACACAGGAGAAATACCATCGCATATCATATGCTGATCGTTCAAGTGTACAGCAATAATTACGGCTGATTATTTTAACATCATAACAATGATA